CTAACATTCTCAGGTGTCAATATGAAAATAAATCCAGTTTGATAGAGCCCGCGGGGTGGGGTGGTGGCTCAAAATCTTTCCTCTTAACTCGTATGCTGGGCTGCCTGAGTAGGCCAGGCCAGGATTTGTGTTCACCTACCGCGGCAGTAGCAAGACTGAAAACTGGTGCAGTGCTGGGGGGTTTTCCTTTGTGGTTGGAATGTGCAGCTGTAAGGAAACCAACAGTTGGGAGTTATCTGTAGGTGTAGGATTCTCTGTAGTGGAAAATATTCCGTGAAATCATTTAGAATCAGTAATTCTATAGCTTTTGTCTTCCTTGTATAGTTTAATATTAACCTGTCTTGAAATATTTTTTAGCTGATTAAAAAAATAATTGGATTGGGAGCAGCAGTATAGTTGGCATCAAGTGATGTATCGTTGCTGTTGGTTGCACGTACTTGTGTGCCATCCCCCTCTTTTCTGTGAAACCCTTGTTTTCGGAATGGTTTCAGAGTTAACATTGGAGGTTGCCTATTCTCTTTTAGGGCCTCTATGGCAGCGTGATTGTGGCAGGAGGAAACACCCTAATCCAGAGTTTCACAGACAGATTGAACAGAGAACTGTCTCAGAAAACGCCACCGGTAAAGCAGCTCTTTAAGTTTCTGCGTGGTGACTTAGCATTTTGCTGCATAAATACAGAAGTGCGGATCATGGCTTTGACTTTGATAGGAACCCAGCAGCTAAAGAGCTTTCTGTGGGGCAGGAAATCTCCTCCGTCTCTAAAGAAAAGAAAGCAGTTGTGACAAGTCCTTACGTGATGAATTCCAGCAGCAGATACTATAATGGCTTTCTCAGTATTGTACTTCTCCATTCCTAAGTGTTGTGTAGGTGCCCCCAGACGCTGTTTCCCTTGATGGCCTCACCTCTGGAGTGCTGCTGACTAACTTGAGGCACGTGCGGTCATTCTGCCCGAGGCCTCGTCATTTTGTCATGCGAATTGTTCTGCCTGGATTCTGCAGACAACTCGGTCTACTCATAGATAAAGCCTGGTGATTTAACGTGCCTGTTTGAGCACTTGATGTCAAAGAAGATATTAATAGCTGACATGGGCGCTCTTGAGAGCGCAGAGAGCTTCTCTTACTTCTTTAATATTCATATTGAAGAAAAAATGTTCTGCTTGTAGCAACCCTGAAATCACGAATGTTGTGAGGAACTGGGAAAAGTACTTCCCGCTTCTTGTAAGCGCTGAGGAGGAACACACTGAAATTCCAAGATGTTACTGCTGTGAGGCATTTTGAAAGCAAAAGGACTGAATGGGTCCAAAAAAAGGACTAGATTAACTGGGTTCAGCAACATTACACGTCTTAGTCCCAGCGCAGGTTTTAAGTAGCTCAGTGCTAGGGATGACAAGAGACACTGTCAGTATTCTGGCTCCTTACCTGCCCTGTTTTTAGCTGCAAGCGGTTGCTGCTGCTCCCTGTTGGAGACAAGGTAGAAGCCATGTGTGTTCTGTCCCACCACGTCTGTTCTTGCATTCTAAGAACAGGGTGGGTGAGCGTTATTCCAAGTTTCATCTGTTTTATCTTTTCACCTGCATGTTGGTGCATACACCAAGCTCCTCGTGCTGGCCTTCTCTTGTCCCTGAAGGTCACCAGCCTACAATGTGTCTGACTGCTCTTCGGTTTTACCTCCTTTTCTGTTCAGAGCATGCGCCTGAAGTTGATAGCGAACAACACGACAGTGGAACGGAGGTTCAGCTCCTGGATCGGCGGCTCAATTCTGGCTTCTTTGGTTCGTAAACCCGTGTTACTCCATTGCTGTCATAAGCAGCACTGTCCCCCAGAAACCTACTCCTGCATGGGTGTGCACTGCAGAGTTTATGCTACCACAGCAGTCGTGATCTTGTCTGTCAGCATTCCCAATCGGAAGATGACTTGCCACATTCTCCCATTTCTAACGGCAAGGTGCAGGCTTGAAATACGATACCCAGAAAGGACAGGTATATAGTACACCAGGAAAGTAACCAACCTGTTCCTCCATCACCTTCCTGAGCTTCATTCTACAAGTTCCTCCCTACTGAGATGGTGTGTGGGTCTTCATTCAGCAGTGTGGGAAAGGGAGGCTGCAGTCAGCTTTGGGTACCGCAGCTCCCGGTCTTGATTTTAATCGCTTGCAATAGGAAACGCGGAGAAGATGGTTAGGCAGGTCAAGTCCCCTTACCTCACTTAACGTAAAGGCGTGCTTGTTTTTCCTCCTAGGAAAAGCTAATCGTGTTTCTCTTAACCTTCATTTGTTTTCTGATTATTTTGTCGGGTTTGTTTTTTTGTAGGGTACTTTTCAACAGATGTGGATTTCTAAACAGGAATATGAAGAAGGAGGGAAACAGTGCGTAGAGAGAAAATGTCCTTAAACCTCTTACTGTGAAAACCGCTGCCTGCTCAGTGCTCCTTCTGATTTATAGCTTTAGCATACTCAGGAATGGGATGGACTCTTTTGTAGAAAGTTTATATTGGAGTTTTTGCATCATTCAAGTTCCATTTTAACAAACCTTAGAAACTTGAAGAGACCTAATTGGTACTATCATAGAAAAAGGATGTTTACATCCCTTGTAAAGCAATAATTCACGTAACAAGCATTTTATAATTTTGTATAAATGTCTATTTTCTCTAGAATCTTTTCCTGGGAACAGCTTTACAGGTTAGCTAATAGATAGAGGCATCACCTTGCAAATGCCCATGCAAACTTATTAAAAATCTCTTGTCTACTTTCACCTATTAGTCTTCCTTGCTGGTACTTTGGCCTTAAATTGCTCTTATTTCTCTCTTTAAAAATAAAATCTGGTCTTTTATATTTGAGCAAGAGAAAGTTACTCTTCTGTCTCAAAACTGGGGAGTTTGTATTTAGTGATCTACTGTAGGTTCAGTGTGACCTTTCACGTCTAACGGGAGTGTCACATTCCACGTAGTGAATGTTCCAGTAAGCACTGGTTTCCTAATTCTGTTTCATTTTGGTGAACAATCAGTGCTTTCCACCCGATTTCTGAGAATGTATACAATACCTTTGTGATGGAGGTGAGAAGCAAAACTTGTTTGAGCCAGGGAAGTGAGGGCAAAGAACTGTCTCTCCAAGACAAGGAGAATGGTTGTGGAAGACCTCAGGATGTGGCTTGACATCCTGCAGGGAGCTGGAACTCCAGGGGGCAGTTGCTACAGGCTCGTGGCTGGTTCAGCTCCCGCAGCCGACCCGCAGCAGGGTCAGCAAGTGCCTGCGTTTTGCATGGGCAGTGTGCACTCAGGGTCGCAGAGGTAGGGTGATTGTTTTCTGAGCAGGAACTG